CGAAGCGACGCAGTGGGCCGTTCTGGCGGACAAAGGGTACCAAGGGATCCAACGGGACGTTCGCGCCGTGCTCCCAACAAAGAAGCCGCCACGCGGTGTCATCACGTCCGACGATGTCCGCCAGAATGACCGCATCGCGTCCGATCGCGTGGTGGTTGGGAACTGGTTTGGTCGGAGTGATTTCCGAAAGGACTCGATGATCAGGAAACTACGTTATTTTCGATCAGAGTGCGAGGTTTTGAGTTAGAGGTACTATAATGTTCGAGAAAATTTATAACATGGACGTATGCTTTTGGTTGTTTAGGGTCCATCTGTACGTTGTTTTTTCCGCCGTGGATAAAACGAGCGGTGAACCATGCTGATGGCAGGCTGAACGAGTGTATGCCACAGACGATGGTTTTCTAGGTACCGCCAACGATGAAACGATTGGAACCGTGAGTGGACAATGATGTGTGCGTTGTACAGAGGTACTGCCCTCCCGCCTTGAAACTCGTGAACACAAATCAAAGAAGAATGAACGCTACGAGGCTGTACGTTCTTGCTAGCCAACTACCCAGCACCGAACGTGAAGTATTAAGAAAATGCCGCCATTCTGGAGGTAGTTGTGACTCTTTTCGTGGGCCAAAGTAATAATCAAAGAATACGAGATCCGATGATCCACTGGAATATAACAGCGCGGTTGCAAGCGTTACTTCTTGGTCGAGTCGGTGGCGGCAGGTTTCGTTGGCAACTCGATGTCCGCATCGGTCTTGGCAGGTGGCCCTGGATACACAAAGCAGAGAACTAGCTGGAAGAGACCTAGGACGAGGTTGACCGCGTTCGGTGCAATCACAAACACGTCGTGGATGAGCACGCCAAAGGAGAGCCAGAGAAAAGAACACGCGATCCCCGCCGTGATCATCTTGAACGGAAGCGACGCCGCGGACTTGTGCTTGAACACGGTGCCGGCGGACGACAACGGGGACGCCACCATCAACGTGCACACGGCAATCCCAGCATACCCGACGTGAGTCGCGACGTGGTGCACATGCATGTGGGTGCCGTAGACCGCATACACCACAGCGCTTGATACGAGTCCCAGCGTGAAAACGATCTTCTTGGCCGCCGTGCCACGGTAGGTACCTGCGTGGGTGTAAATCACGACAAGGTAGTACCCGCTGAGGGTCATGCCCACGACGTTTGTCGCTACAAGGGGAAACCAGTTCTGCACCAAGACACCGTACAAGGTCCTGTACAATTATCAGCGCATCTGCCTTCAATAGTGAGCGTACCAAAGGCTGCCGTTGGCGAACATGCACAAGATGGGCAGCATGTCGATGGGGATTTTGGCACGGACGCGCGGCATGTCATTCATGGGACTCATGTTCATGTAAATCGCCGCGATCGACGCCATCAACTTGACGGTCGCCACTACCGTCGGCACGTGGGCGGCATGATCTGACATTTTGTAATTTTTATGGCAAACCAATGTTATCCGGATTTACGGGTTTTATCCGGTCAACACTCTCAACTCCTGTGGCAGCAAGCAGAAAATCCGATGCCGAGCACGCTGAGCCCACTCGAGCAGCTGAATGCCGCTTGCCGCGGCTTCCGCGAAACACTTCCACGGCTCATTCAAAGCATGGACGATGTACTTTTCAACTGACGTGCTTCTATAACGCCTCCATAACGGGAGCTCTGTCGTAGAACGCCACGTCGACAAGCAACGATGTCGTGAGAGCGCTTTGTTTACTCAAAGACATCAAGCAGTCGACGCGGGAAACATTCTTAGACGCGGAGGGGTACCGCCGTCGCGTCGCCGAGCAAAAGGATCTGGTCGAAGCACACCACTTGAAGCTCCAAAACTTGCTCTACGAGAAAGACCACTTGCTGCGGGAGATACGCCGATGCAAAGGATACCCGTACAGAATGCTCGACTAGCGCTGGCAACTGCCTCATTTGGTCTGACGTAGCACCAAGGAGCTCGACCAGATCCAATTCAAGGATGGACCGCTACCCGTCCTTGTGGACGCCGATTCCCACGACAAGCACCTCAAGCGCCTCGACGACGAGCTCGCCGATCGAAAAGCGTAAGAAATTCGCGGTCCATCATGTCCATGCATTCACGCGCATCCCACCTTTCCCCGGGAGCATTTCTGCTCGAATATTCGACCTTCCGACGACTGCAGGGCCTCACCATCGTGGTCGCATGAACCCGTTCGTAGACAGCTTCAGCACCAACAGGACCTCAAGGCTCAAATTGCAGCGGTTGACGAAGCAGTCCAAGCGAAGCACGCCCTTCTGGACACCGTACCCGCTCACATCGCCGCTATTGAAGAGGTTCGTCGCTGCTAATGCTTGAGAAGCCATACGGATCTCTCGAGGCTTGGATGCCTCCGTCGATCGGCATCGTGTTCATTGTCACCGTGCGCATGGTCGTTCACAGCCCTTATCGTAGGCGACACGTCCGTTGCAGGCGTTACTGTCGATACCCATCTCGGAGTCGACCCAGCGCCACCGTGACGCAAAGGTCCTTCCCGCGCCGTTGTACTCGCTGTTCTGCGAGCTCGACGCCTTTCTGTCCATCCATCCTGGCACTGGAACTGTTGCGATCGGCGAAGCCAAGGTCGGGTCGCTGTCCAAGCTCAGGATCAAATCCCGAAAGTCGACTAGCGCTGCCGCCCCCGGTACGATTTCTGGATCTGCATGACGCAGCGGACGACGTGTTGGTTGAAATGGCCATGCGTGCATGCGCACTTTCGACACATGACGACTGACGTTTTCGCATAGAGAAAATTGAAGCTGACGACACGGCCGCCCCCCCTGACGCAAAGCGTGCGAAGTTGACAGATCCCCACGACGCGGCGCCCTTCGTCCCAGCGCCTCAGTCGCTTGTCTTGGAGGTAATGGACCGGCGCTACCGACCCGAGAGTGCTCTCGTCCACGTATTCATGCTGCGCCATGAACTGTGGTCTTTCGAAGCTCTGAAATGTGAAGCTGCCCTCGTGGCCTCACAACCTCTTGTAGCTCTACCTCCCAACGGCGGCGGGGGCAGCCTCCGCTTCGGATTCGCACAAAACCAAGGTTTTGTTCATGTACTTACCTCAGCTCCGCGTTGTCGTCGTCGAGGCGCCGCGGTACCCAGCCCTCCTGCGCAACCTGTTTGCGGCGGACAGCGGCACCGACTTTCCCAACCAACCTGCCATCGCGTACGCGTTTGAAGCGTCCGATGGGATGGAGGTCCCGATGGCATTTCCGACCGACGTCAAGGCACGACCTTACGTGTGGGCCCAGTGGATCACTGGCCTGTCGTCGACGGGTCGCATTGAGCCGTCGATTCGCCACGTCATGGCCAGGGTACGTAGTCCGTGCCTTCTACCGGTCGCTCTCTTGCAGCGATCGCTGTCTCGAAGCGCTCAAGCGGCTGCTGTTGCTCAACCAACGGGACTTGTCGTAGCTGCGGCACCGATATACTATCCAGCATGCCCTGTACGGCCACTTGGACGCGCTCAAGGAGAAGCGGGTCGACTTGTCGCCGTCGTCCGAGTTGGCCTCGGCATCTGTCAAGACAAAGCTTCACAGCTGGTCAAAGGTCGCCCGCGACGACATCTCGGTATTCCCAGACTACGTCGATGGCACTCTGTACTTTCGAGCGTCACTCGTCCCGCCTGGAGGTACGCCCTCCAACGCACATGCCATCGTTGACACGTTCCGGTGGGTGTAGATGTTGGCCGCGTCGTTGCTTTCGTTGAGATCTCACCAGAGTACCCCAAAGTTGCCCCTCGGTTCGTCGTTCAAAAGGATGTGGCGTTGGCTGCGCTCCCGACCGCCGATCAGCTCAAGGTACAGCACCTCCATGAGAGCATACACCACGCATGACGGCCCCGTTGAAGTCGTGGTTGGGGGCGACTGTGTGGCTGGTCCCCGTGGTGGTTGGATTAAGCATGTCCATCCAATCGTTGTATCTACCCTGATGCCATGATGCTGTGTTGAAATGGATGGCTGACCGGTCGTGCTGGATTGTATGTATGCTAGGACATGGCGGTCGAAGTGGTAGAGTTTGCGGCCGACCTGGTGGCGGCCGACGGGCGCGACGACCTCTACCTCCTCGTGCATCAAGTGCGCAAGCTCCAGGTACGAAAACGATCGTTTGCAGTGACGTGGGGATAGCACCTGTGTTTTCCACGGACACAATCCGTGCGGTTTTTGCTTGGGGATTCAAAAATGGATGGCTGACGAGTGACCAATATGATCTAGCTGTGCCTGGATGAAATCGCGGCATGCGGGACGTCAAAGACGAACGAGTACACGTTTGGAACTCGCCGCAAGAAGAAGCCCCACGCACACCGCCGTGGCCAAGTGCCGTCGGAACGGTCGTCGCAGCCCGACGATGCCGATAACGACGGCTGACCACAGATCTTGCCGTTCTCGTCGATGCACTAGCCCATCCAACAAGACAAGGTTGTCGACTCTACATTGCTGTGTTGTACAGAAACGCCAGCGCGATCCCTATATGAACCCGCTTCCTAGCTTGGGCAGCGTGGATGACGTCGGTGAAATTGGGCTGGCTGTTGTCATGGAAGGTGCTCCTGTTGGTGGTGCCTTGAGAAGGCCGAACTGCACGAGTGCGTCCAAGAGATGGCGGAGAGAGATGGTTGGTGCACTGCCTTGTTTTGCAGAAGTCGCGGCAACATGTGGCGGCGACGGGACTAGTTGATGGAAAATGCGGTCGGCGTCGGCGTCGCTGGCGACTTTTACGTTCAGGCTTACGTACATGGCCATGAAGAATTGCGATGGATCCAACGTGCAGGACGTTGTGTCGTGGAAGAGGGCCGAGTTCTCGTCCGCGGCGGACGATGCGTCTTCGTCCAGCGGCTGGCTCAGCATGGCTCGTCGAAGGACTTGTGGGATGGAAACGTGCCACAGCGTGGCTTCGACACACGCTTGTCTGACGAGCTTTTGAAGAAAGTGTTTGGTGAGGTGGAGATCGGCTTGTTGCTTTCGCCTGCGGACAGCGTCGGTCAAGTCGGCGGATGACGACGAGGTCAGGAGAGGGAGGTGCGACGGTGGAGATGGGTGGTGCTGCGTATGGTCGTCGGGGTGGTGCGACGGGAGAGTCCCTGGGTCGTAGTCTTGCACGAGCTGGGAAGACGTGGATTTGGACGACATCAAGTGGTGATTCGGAGGGTGGTCATCCAAAGCGTGTGCGATGAATTTGACGTATGACACGGTGCCGCCCTCGGGAACATGCAGATGGATGCGGAAGAGTCTTCGCTCGTTCGTTGTTAAGTTGAGCCGAAACGACGTGTCGATGATGTTTACGAATGCGTCCCATGGAAGCTTGCCGCGATTCCGTGAATCATGCACGGAGAACAGTTCCATGATCGCATCCGATGCGTCCGTGGAAGATGCATCCGACGAAAAGAACGTGGAAGATGATTGACATGGCGAATTCTGCCGTCGGGAGGACACCCCACGCACGAACGCGAGCATGGCACGTTTGACACGCTTCGAAATTGATCGGCGCTGCGATTCTTCCTGCTGATCATCGTTGTCGAAAGGAGGCACAACCTTGTATGGTGGCTTCACCACCATCAACGCGTCGTCTTCCTTGAGCATTATCTGCCGCATGAGTGCTACATTGCACTGCCTGTCGTCGCCGCCGCCGTCGACCGCCTTGGCGAACACCATGGCGATGGCGCTATTTTTGATTCGACCACTTCAACCACCTTGTAGTAATACTAATACTAACACTCCATCACGGTATACATTTAGCACTACTAGTAAGGATTGCGTAGTATTACTAATGGCAAGGTCCATGACAAAACAGAATCAGCGTGCGAGATGGTGACGCAGTCGCCGCGGCGCGGCGTTTGCGACGACGCAATGAGCTCTACGTGGAGGTTTGCTTCTTCTTGGTGAGCTGGACGGTTTCTCTCTTGAGGACATGGAGGAGGGTCTGCGAGCTCTCAAGGATCTTCATGTACGCTGCTTCAGTCTCTTGGATTGTGCGGTCGTATTCATTCCGTGCCTGCGTCTTGCGCGCGAGGGTCTCGTTGATCTTGCTCAATCGGTCCGTGAGCACGGTAAGATCCTATGGCGGACGTGAGTGAGCAGGTCTCCCCGCACATCGACGAACACACCTTTTGAATCTTGGCCTTCTCTTCCTCCTCCTTGAGAATGTTGCGGTTCACCTCCTCGCGCTTCTCCCGCAGGTCCTCAATGCACTTGACGAGCTCATTATTGTAGTTCTGCATGGATGCTCCCTGCTGTGCCATCTTGACCTTTTCTGACCACGACCGCGAATGAAGCAGTGCCTAATGCACCCCCCTGAATGTATTTATAGACGGAAACCCCAAATTTCACGGGGGTGAGCATCATGCAAGGAAGGGAAGTGTATTCTTAGCCACACGATGGTTCAACAACGCATCGAGAGGGGTCGGTCGATGGCCTGCAGGATTATGGAGCGGGCGAGGATCGCTGCGGTGGTGTCGGCTCTGCAGTCATCCACACGAAGTCGACTGCGGCGTTCGCCGCTCATGTCGACGTCTGTTTCTTCTTGGTCAATTGCACAGTTTCGCGCTTGAGCACATGGAGGAGAGTCTGGGAGCTCTCAAGGATCTTCATGTACGCTGCTTCAGTCTCTTGGATCGTGCGGTCGTACTCGTTCCGTGCTTGCGTCTTTCTCGCCAGGGTCTCGTTGATCATGCTCAATCGGTCGGTGAGCACCGTGAGATCCTACAGCACACCACCCAGATTCATCAGCCCAAGATGTCCATCCATGCACGCACGGCACCGCACAGTCACACCTTTTGAATCTTGGCTTTCTCCTCTTCTTCCTTCAGGATCGACCGGTTGACCTCCTCGCGCTTCTCTCGTAGGTCTTCGATGCACTTGACCAACTCGTTGTTGTAGTTTTGCAGCGTCGCGCCCTGTTGCGCCATGCCCGTCCGCCGCCGCCGCGTCGAAGATTCACAAAGTGGAACCTCACACAATACATATAGTAAAAAATAAAATATAGGAGGTTGTCGACGATTTTCGATTCCTGCCTGATTTTATAAGTATTCGCAGTTTTCGATACGACACATCCCGGCCAAGTTGAAATATTCGTCCATCGAATGCGTGTGGAGCGCGTACTTGCTCTGTTCCGG